CAATTGCTCACAATTGTGGGCCTCTATCTACGATGACTCATACAATTGCTTAAGATCACTCACAATTGCTCACAATTATAGACCGCCGTCATTTACCTCAAACAAAAATAAATAAAGAAAATAAATAAATAAACAATAAAAGGATAAAAATAAATTAAATTAAATTAAACTATCTAAGCCCAACTCCTACGTCACGAAACTCGTGACACTAATGTGACGAAGATTTATTGCAGATATAAAAATGCATGTACGTTAGGGTGGACTGTGGCGGCCACAGAAAGGAGGCAAATTCGCAAAGATGAGCAAGAAAGGCACACAGAACCTAGCAATTACAAGAAATGAAAGCTCAATCTCTAGCGAGTCTTCGGATACCATAGCTACATCAACAAGCCAAAGTCAAGATATTCAAGTTGCAGACGGAAGCGTTGATAACCAAACGAAAGCATATATAGACACAGTAATTCAATCGACAGCAGCGGCTATCATGCAAAACATGCAGCAGCTAATGGACCAACAAGCCGAAAATCAGAGGTTATGGAATTCACAATGCATGGAAACATTAAACCAGAGGTTTGAAAGACTTGAACAAATGAATTTGCAAAATGACGATATTAGTGGTAACCAAGGTAATGACATCGGCCTAACCACAGTAGAAAGGAGTCAGCAAAGCACTGGTGAGACCAATAAGGACACGAGTACGTTACAAGGTAATTACTCCCATCTCCAGTCATCAACAATCTGTTAATGAAAGCAAGTATAGAGGAAGTAGGTGAGAATAGGGTTAGAACATACAAGTCGATGGCCAGGAAATACCCTACTATAGACTACGACGCAGTCAAAGAAATCCCAACAATCCAGGGTTTCCAAAATCAGAAAGCCGCTGTGACAGAATGAATTTGACTCTGGTGGGTCATGAACTGGACGGAAGAGCAGAAATTGTTAGAAATGCTCCCGCAAAAGCCTAGTCTAAGTAACAAATTGTGGAAAACCATCGCATTTGGCACTTTCGTAAACCTGCAGAAAAGCTTAATTGAAAGTGTAAAGGACATGGACAATAATACAGCATTGGAAATGGTAGATGGCGGTGCAATATATATAAGAAAACGGAAACACACTGTGGTAGTTAAGAACATATCAGAATGGCTCATAGCATTCAAGGCATACATGGATGCGGTTTTAGTAATATATGATAACCGTGAGCAAGAGCTGAATTCTTACCGAGATCATATAAATGAGCTGTGTGTTAAATATGAGTTCACTGCAGTTATGAAGTATGACGAAGAACGGAGGGTAGCTTTGGTAATGAACCGTGATTCAACTCTAACTGAAAGGAACATTGAGGCAGAAGGTAAAAGCTTCAATGTAACAACAGCAAGAAAATCTAAGAAAGGGTGGCGCTAGGGTTCCAAAGTTTGATTTGATAAGTTTGAGTTTAAGTTTGATTTGAAATCAAACCCAAACTCAAACATTAAATTTTGCAAATTTTCAAACTCAAACCAAACTCAAACTTGC